AACTTTACCTGACTTAGAAATGTATTCCAGGACAGGGACTGGAGAGACAACTCAGCAGTTAGGGACACTGGCTGCTCTTCCAGAAGATCCAGGTTTGATTCCCAGTACCACCTGGTTGATCACAATCATCTGTAACTCCAGTTCCAGGGGATTCAACTTCCTCTTCTGGACATAGCAGGTACCAGGCACACACATGATGCACAGATGTACATGGGTTGTATATGGGAAGCAAAACATCCATACACATAAAATAAGAAAATCTCAAATAGTTAAAAAAAAAAAAAGAAAGAAAAGAAAAGAAAAAAGCTGGGCAGTGGTCATGCACAACTTTAATCCCAGCACTTGGGAGGTGGATCTCTGTGAGTTCAAGGTCAGCCTGGTCTACAGAGCACATTCCAGGACACGTTCTGAAGCTACACTATCTCAAAAATAAGAAAGAAAGAAAGAAAGAAAGGAAGAAAGAAAGAAAGAAAGAAAGAAAGAAAGAAAGAAAGAAAGAAAGAAAATGAAAAACGTGTCCTGGGGCTTGGCATGGTAGTACTTAACTTTAATCCCAGCACGTGTGAGTTCAAGGCCAGCCTGGTCTACATAGTGAGTTCTAGTCCAGTCAACACTACATAATGAGACCTTGCCTTTAAAAAAAAAAATCCTGGATTTTACAAGGAAGCATGGGGTGCAGCCACTCCTTTGTCCCACATCTTATCTCCAGGTATGATGACATCTCACAGTACAAAATTCTTGGGGACCCCAAAAACCTCCCTCTAAGGTGTCCATGCATGTTTGCGTCCTGTGAGAATCCAGTCCCCAAGAAGAAGAGGCCTGCCTGAATGAGGTTGCGCCCGGGTGCAAAGATGAGGGCCCATGACTTGTAACAGCCCTGACCATTCCCCAAACACGCTAGGAGTACAAAGCAGGCATCTCATTGAGCACTCCCTGGCAAATAGAAGCCCACACACCGATCAGACTATCGTCTATCTAGCTTGAGAGATGGCATCTGGAGGGCCTGAGTGACCCATCAGGGGGCATGGCGGGGTGTGTGTGTGTGTGCGCACGCGTGCACCCAGGTTCAGAGATGTGGTCACCAGCAGAAGCCAAGATTGAGCCTGTGTAAGGGAGTCACCAGTGGAAAGTAAAATGAGTGACTGACTGTGTGGATGTGAGCTGGATGGGTAGAGGGTAGCAGTGGCCAGGGATGCTGGTGGAAGGAGAGTGGATGCCTGGGGAGCAGAAGCCTACTGGGCGGATGGGCAGAGGGTGGATGAGCGACTGGGGAGCAGCGGAGGAGCAAGTAAGTGGTTGGATGGCTGGATGGATATAGGTTTGGATCAACAGATGGGTGGAAATGCGGGGAGTGGAGGGAGTAAATGGACGGGTGGAAGGAGAGGAGGTAGGTGGGAGGAGACAGGTAGCTAGGCAGCGGGATAAATGGGCCTTTGCAACTACGGCTAGATAGACCCTTGTACAGTAAGAGACGGGGACTAGGAAGACAGGGCCAGTGAGCAGAGGGATAAACTGGCCAGCAATCCAGACCGACTTAGGAGTTCAAGGAAGCATGCTGCCCAGCAAGCGCTGACAGATGTGGCCAAACCAACTCAGCCAGCCCAAGGTCCTCAGCTCTTTAGACTCTACAGTAGGTTGCCTCAAGTGGAAAGTACCCCATCTCAGAATGTGTCCTTGACTCCTCCAAAGAGATCTCCCTACTCAGAAATCCCTATGCCCCATTAGTCCCATCCCCCCACCCCCAGTCTGGAAGGGTGAAGTCAGGGCAGCTGAACCCTGACAGGACACAGGCTGAGGGCTTGGTGCCTTCAGCACAGGAGAATCCAGAAAAACCATGTAAGAAGCAACTTCCCCTCTCTTCCCCAGCTGGGAGCCATTTGTTCTGCATCCTGCATGGTAATTAGGGCTCTGGCAAGGTTAACCCCTGCATTCCTGGCACAGCTTTGGAGGCAGGCAGGGGACTTCGGAAAATCAGCAGAGAAAGACATGAGAAAGAAGGGATGCCCACCCCTCGCCCCTGGATTCCAGGGATCTTCTTTTTTTTTTTTTTCTTTTTCTTTTTTCAAATAATTTGTTTTTATTTTATGTGCATTGGCATTTTGCCTGCATGCACGTCTGCGGGTGTCATGTGTGAGGGTGTCAGATCTTGGAGTTACAGAGAGTTGTGAGCTGCCATGTGGGTGCTGGCAATTGAACCTTGGTCCTCTGGAAGAGCAGCCAGTGTTTTTAACCTTAACCGTTGAGCCATGTCTCCAGATCCGCTCCCCCCCACCACTTCGGAAGGGGTGCACTTCTTTTTCTTCCATTTTCCCAGAGGAAACTGAGTCAGATCCTTAAATCAGAGGTGGCGCCAGGAGCAGGGATTGCGGCCTATATGGAGATAGACTTCTCTACAGACAACCTCAAATGTGAGCAAGGACTCCGCTCAGCCTCAGTTCACTCCTCTGTACAATGGGACAGAATGTCTGCCTAGAAGATTGCCACACAACTAGCTGGGAGAAATGGAGTATTTGGAATCTGGTCCAGAGGTTGGGAGGTTCTGAGCCACTGAGCCAGGGTACAGAGGATGGCGCAAGAGTGGACAGAGGGTAACTAACCACTTGCACCCAAATAGCTTTCTCAGTCGGCTGGGGAAGTGCAGGTTCTGAGTCTGTGAGTTCAAGGCCAGCCCCATCTATATCATGAGTTCCAGGCCAAGTAGGTCTACAAAGTGAGGTGTTGTCTCAATAAACAAAGACAGCTTTCTGGGTCACCTCTCTGGGCTTGCAACACACCCTCGGGTATGGTAAATGCCTGCCCCGGAGCTAGACCCATTTTAAAAAGAAGCCTACTCTGTGCGCACAGGCGGCCTTGAACTCTGGGTCTTTAACGCTGAGCCAAGTGGCTTCCTTTCTGAGCTGCTCCAGGAACCCTGGCTGGAGGGAAGAGTAACTTTCCCTCTAACCAGAGCACCTTTGGGAGCATGAGCAAGTGCTATTGGTAATCAAGCCGGGACACCGGTGCTCTCGACAAACAGGACATGTCATCCTCCTGCCAAAGTAGGAGGCCCTGGATAAGTCACCTCACTTCTCGGCAAAGGGGACACGATGGCACAATTGTTCCCAGAGGGCGCTCACGAAGATTAAATGTGATTATGCAGGATATGCATTAGGTGCTCAATAAAAGCTGAGAGATTTTTAATTGAACCTACGCATGCACAGACACCTGGCCATGTTAAATACCCAGGCCCGGCTCAGTTCTGTCCTGTGTTCCAGCCTCCTCCTCCATGCCTTGCAGTGCCTCTGAGTCTTGGGGACACTGTTCTCAATTTCCCTGAGCTGCCCCAGGGGAACCACCTATATCTCAATCTTATATGCATGCCACTTGAGCATGCCACTTGGTTTGTGCCTCATTTTATTTGTCCAGCTGCAAAAATGGCCCCCTTCCCAAGGAGAAGAGCACAGATATACAGAGTCGACTCTAGAGGCATATCACTCTGCGTCAGCCTGTCTCCCCCATCCACCTGCCTGCACGGTCGGTCCCTCACCTCTGCAGGGACAGTGCTGCCCAGCTCCGTTCCTGCTTCCACAACTCAAAACCTTTGCCCTGGGTCTGTCCAGTGTGAACTTCCTAGGCTCTCTGCTGCTTTTTCTCTTTCTTTAAGTCTTCACCGGCTTTTCTCTCTTCCAGGGACCCTTGCTCAATATCTCACTCCCAGACTGCCTTCGGGGACCACTGGTGCCACACGCAGCCCCTAGGATTCCTGTCTGTCCTCAGAGGGAAGAAGAGGGCACAACGCCATGTAGGGGGCCAGGATCTGTCTTCTCGCCTTGAGCATGACTGACTCTGTGCCTTCTTTGAAGTAGGGGGCCTCACTAAAGATTTCTAAGGTGTGACCTCATTTACCAGTTCAACAACTCGCCTAGTTGCTAGAGTAGCGAACAGGAGATAATGTAATGTCTAATGTCTGCTTTGATAACTCCACTTTTAATAGATGTGTGTGCATGAGCGTGAGTGTGCATGCGTGTGTGCATGTGTGTGTGTGTGTGTTTGTGTGTGTTTTTATTCTGGGAAAAGAACTTCCCTCCTCTGGAAGAGCAGGAAGCACTCTTGACAACTGAGCCGTCTCTCCAGCCCCATGAAGAAACTGAGGCACTGAAAGGCAAGGAAGAAACCACGGCCATACCAGCTTTAGGGGCCATGATATGACCACACGCTGTCCAACACTCTTCTCTCACTACATGTGTCCTGGAGCAATGGCCTCTTCCCCCAGAGTAGTTAAGTGTTCTGCTAGTATCAAACGGGGCTAGTACTGGGACAGGAGGAGACTGGAGAGAAAGGGAAAGAGTAAATGCCCACATTTAAAAAAAAAAAAAAAATTCAAGGTCTTCTGGCCAGTTCCCCCAGCTCCAGCAGAGAAAGGCTGGAGGCCCAGGCCCAAGTTGTCAGTTCTGGACTCCCCGAGGTCATCTGAGGAGCAGTGGGCAGCAAAGAGTCCCTGTGCCCTCCTCTAGACATTCCCAACTCAGGACAGGGTGAACATTCCCGAGGTCGCCCCGCCTAGGGGCGGCGGGCTGGGGCCTGGCCTGGCACTCCCGCCTTGCCCCTGCAGTCCTCGCGG